CGGGGCGGACCCTAGTACTAGTACTACTACTACTACTACTTCTGAGACGTGGTAGCAGCAGCAGGAGGAGGAGTAGTAGTGGTAGTAGTGGTAGTAGTCGTCGTGGTAGTCGTAGAAGTCGTATTGATAATTGTAGTGGTACTGGCAGTGGCAGCGGCAATGGTAGTGCTGGTAGTGGTAGTGGTAGTAGTAGTCGTCGTCGTAGAAGTCGTAGTAGTAGTGGGTGGTGAGGTAGTGGGGGCGGGGGCAGGTAATGGCAGTGGCAGTGGCAACGGTAGTGGTAGTGGTAGTAGCCTAGTGGTAGTAGTACGCGGAGTAGGAGCACCTGTAGTAGCAAGAGAAGGAGTAGAATCGGAGTAGAAGGAGGAGTTGTAGTTGCAGGAGGCAGAGGAGAAGCATCAGAAGCAGGAGTAGGTGAGGGTCCCGTTGGTATTCCCGATGCATGAGTCGCTGTTTGTTCGGTCGCGAGATTTGTGGTGACGGTTGTTCGACCTTTGTCGTTGCGAAAGCCTGCCTGATTGCAGTTGTTAGTGGTTGTAAACCCTGTAAGCGTCCTAGCAATGGAAAAATCAATCTTCGTTGCTCCGTTGACCTCGCGTCGGCAGTCGAGGTGCCTTGTTCTGAGCCTGTCGAGCAACGGTCGCACTGATAGCAGCAACCGAAATGAATGAAACAGGGAGCAGGACATGCCTCAAAAGAAACCCGTCAGCCGACTCGGACTGGAGTCGTATACCAATGCATGAGAAAGCGGCGCGTAGAATAAACTAGTGGGAACACCAACCAAGAGACTAGGGAGATCGACTGTGAGCCAGAATGTCTGGAAAAGCTAGACCGATTGGTGCGGCCATATGTCAGACGGTGGTTTTTCATAAACTGATGCTTCAGTGAAAACAGAAGCTGTAACTTGCTTCCTGGATGCAAAGCCCACAGCCGAGTTGCTTGTGGTCCATCACTGCTTTGAGCAGGAAAGTGTTGATGCTGCTGCTGTGTCAGGTCGCCTTGTTCTGAGATGGTGGTCAGCCACACCTTACCGTGCTTCTTAATTGTGCACGCAAGAACCTCTTCATGACAGGCACATCCCAACCAGGTCCCTGTGCGAGGTATGGATTACTGCTAGCGAGAGGCTACCAGCGCAAGCCCTGAGACCGATTTCTATCGTGTGTGCGGCACAATCATGAATAGCAACGGTCGCAAGGACGTCAATAACAGCATCTTCTTGCCAGACGAGCAAGGCCAGCTTTGTACTCTCTGCGACGAATTTGGAGGTGGTGGAGGTGGGAGACCCAAGGACGAGAAACTTCCAATCTTGCCGTCCTAAGTCCTGAGAGGCCCCTAGTCTTACTAGGAAAGCCTGCCACCCTAGGCTCATAAACATCATGGTTCGTGATGGTACTGTCAAACAGGCTGGTAGTAAGTTCCGCAGCTGGAAGAAGAAGACTGGACATACCATAGCCGCACCTCCCTGAGCCAGGTGATGGCACTCCCGGCTGCCCGGACGTTCCCACAAGCACCGCCGCACCGCCAACCTTTAGCCCACGGTGTGCATGGGCGCAGACAGGCTACGAGGAAAGTGGTGGCAATGACGCTGGTAGCACCTTCTTGGCACTCCAGGAGTGCCAGATTGATGACGGCTCCGAAGCAACCCGACGTTACATCCGTGACCGTAACACTTCTTACATGGCCCCGGACGACTTCCAGGACGTGTGCCTCATGTTCTACGATCTGAGAAGTGGTTCAGCCAATTGCAGAACGGTGTGCGAGACGTTGGGCTCGACATGCAACCGGGTATTGGGCGCAATCGGTGCTGACGGCACTGACAAATGCGGGACCGCTTTCGAGGACAATTCAAACAGCGGCAATTGCGGATACGATGGTGAGAGTGCCGTGCAGACTTTCAACGATGCAATCTGCGCTTGCAACATTCCACCTGAGCCTCGGCGAGCATGGAGCTGTTGTTTTAGCGATGTCATAACTGCAATTAGGGTGAGGGTTTAGAAGGGGGCCTTGCTGAGTGTGCATCAGGCTCCTTAAGGAGCTGTGGGGGTTTGGGTTTCGTTTTGGTTCTTTGAAAGAACCATCGGTTTAAATTTCAATTTCAGCAGAGCTCGCGCGGAAGCGTACATAGCCGTCCCCGACCAAGTCGTGCCAGGGCGGACTGAACAACAACCCCGCGCCCGGCGAGAATCTCGACGATATCGACCCACAGACTCAGGCCGAAGCTTGTGGATTCCAGGGTGCCTTAATGGGATCAAAGGGGCTTCTGTGCATCTCGTCGGGACGCTGTTGGGTACTGAACCAGGGTTTAGTCTTTCATGGAGCTGCCATCAATCCGAGTGCTTTGATTCCGAGGGGTATTCTTAGTCTTCTCAGATGTCGAGTTCATGTAATGTGCACGATGGTATGAACTCTGAAAGCCCGCTTCTTACGACAAAATCCCACAGGTCTAAGAGACAGCCTAACCAAACAGTCACACATCAAATGCACACCACCGCACAGACATACCGCATCTGACCTAGCCCCCCGTAAATGCAGAAAGACAGAGATAACCTGCGAAGCACACTCAAATCTGAAATGACATCCCAAACAATGAGGAGTTTGCGGTTTTGGCAGAGGAGTCTTTGTGTTTCGGGTTTGGAGGTCCCTGGAGCCTCCTCAGAAGGTTCGGTGTGGGACACCCTCTAAAGATTTTCTTTTCGGCTGTTAATTGTGCAGTCGTGTTCTCTCTTGGTGGGTGTTGTGTCTGTTTTGCCCTGGGCACGATTTGTACTGTGATGTTTTATGTTGCTTCTGTTCGGTACTGGTTTTGATTGGTCTGGTAATCCTTGCCACTGTCATTGCAACTAACCAATTATCAACCTGGTATCGTTGCTATTCTTGCGCACAGGTTCCAGTTGTGGTTACTGCTCTTGCTTTGGGTATCATCGTTGGTAGTCAAGTGCTGCGCTTGGCTTTGTGGCTTCTGATGATTGCTGCTTGCCTTCATGATGTGGGGGTCGGTCTTGCAGCGGTTGTTTGCATCCTCGACAACATTACACCAACCATGGCTGAAAAGTCAGGTCTCAGACATTGGAGCAATGGCAAAAACAAGCGTGCCAAGAATCGAACTCATTGCTGAGAACAGCATCAGTGGCTGTAGAGCGCAGGGGCCAGAGCGAAGAACGCTTGTGTAACGTTGCAGCGACGAGGAAGGGGCCGGAGCAGCAGCAGGATGCAGGTTGCTACATCTGTTGCTGCTACCGGCTACCTGTGCGATTTGGATCTGTCTCCCATGTGCTGTATAGCCCGACTCGGGCAAGTGCAGCTCTGTCGCTAGGGGGCTCGGTATCCCAGCTCATCCACGAAGCGCATTAGGCTAAGTGCCCTACCCCTTGCCCGACTTTGCCCCATAAGCGCTCAACATGCCAGACCGACGCAACTGACGCCTGCGCAGACGGATGGTTGGATGGCGTGACCCTGGGGCTGGCAATACATCATTACAGAAAGTCTTGCAGCACGTCCTACCCCAATGTTGAAGAAGCCCAGAAGCTCGAAGCCCAAGGACGCTGCCGGCTACCATCCCGTTGGACTTGAGCGAGTTGACGGAGGAACAGTTCGCACTCTGGTCCTGCATCATCGACTGGAGCTTGGCCGACCCGCAGGATGGCCCTCGACGAAAGGTCAAACAGAAACGAGCAGCGGCATTTTCAACAATAGCACGTGAAAACCATGAGGGAATGATAGATAATGGCTTTTAGAATTGTATGGCTAGTGTAGGTACACCTTCTTCGCAGACATCTTTTCTCCTTGGCCAGGACCGGCCTGAAATCGTGGAGCTGACGCAAGAACAAAACCCCAACTTGCCAATCACCCCGTGTGCGTCTTCGGATGGCACTCTGCCTGAAGCGGGTGCGCAGCCCTGTCGGTGCGGGACGGCGTCGTGCAGCCAAGGCCAGTTCTGCGACGCAGATAACGACACATGCCTCGTAAGCTGTGCCAGCTCAACCGTTTGTGATGGGACGGTGGCGGCCCCGAGCCAGGATCAAATTCCTTGTCTCGCAGATGGCTGCGCCGCAGCACAGTGTTGCCTTCCGAGCTGCGGCGCTGGATCTCCGGCAACTGAAGCGTGCGCATGCGGCACGAACACATGCACTTCAGGCGAGACCTGCGAATCCGGATCCTGTGTTGCGCCATCAGCGCCTCCTGCTGACTGCACTGAGTCTCAGCCTGTAGCTGGAGACTGTACGTGCGGCGGGACGACATGCATCGCAGGCCAGTTCTGTGAATCCGGCAGCAGCACCTGCTTCGACTCGTGTGCCACCGCATCCACATCCATTTGCAATGGCACGGGACCGCTACCGAATGCCAACTCCATTCCGTGTGGTGCAGGTGGCTGCACTGCCGGCACCTGTTGCTCGTCCGGGTCCACAGATGTCACTTGCTCGAGCTATGACTGCACGGGGCTTCGTTGGCGTGCCGATCCAGAAAAGGCCAGTGTCACTTGCAAGCCTTCGGGCTGCGATCACTATACATGCTGCAAATTCCTGCGTCTCCGGAGGAGGCGCAGGAAGGGCCAGTACTATAACGACAATGGCGACGGCTACTATGCTGGGTCCCCGGAGTTGATTGCGACCGAGGAGTCTGAGGAGAGACATGCTTCAACATGGAAGGTCATCAAGTCATGTACCCCGGTAAGCCCTAACTGGTGACAGGACAGCGCCTTCATGCAACAGGAGGCCTCCTGCGAGAACGACGACGAGTGCGAGGAGGAGGTCGGTAGAATTTTCCACCTAAAACCCAGCATAGCATAGCAGCACAATCCGTTTTAGCCATGATGAGAGAAAAGCCGAGTGCCATCGCAGTGGGAGCCCTAGGCCCTAGGCCCTGGCCGGTCTTGACACAGGAAATTGGTGCTGAGACGGAACTGTGAGGAATCGTGTTCGGTTTCATCACAGCACAAACGGAGAAGTTTCGAGGCTTGACCTTACATTTGCGATGCCGAAACGTAGTATGTCTTCAGGCCGACGAACTGCAGAAAGATGGAAACGCGAATTTTGAATCTGTGCTGGGGTAGTCCTAGTCAGCTTCAGGCAGTACCATAATTTTCCGGCTTTCTGGCAGTTCCTTAGCTGTGGTCACGAAAGCCAGTGCTCTGCTTCTTACGACATCTCCTAATCCTGCTACTGTTTGAATTACCGTGCTTGGCTGGTACTGAATCACTTGAAGCAGAGCGAAAAGGTGACCACCGGCCTTTCCTGGCTTGCTAAATAACACGCTTGGGTTTATTATTTTGCTCAGGGCAGCTCTGGGAGATGAGTGATGTTCCTCCCTGACTCGATGCAATGGCGAAGGGCCGCACCCTAGATTTTGCTCGCTGCCCCGTCCTTCTGTCTGGGAGCCATAGAGCCTTGAAGGTTCTGTCCTGCTGACAAATTCTCGAGTCCTTGCTCTGACACCGGCCAAACGGCCGTTATGACTTCGGAGTTCCGACTCCGCCTGAGGGCTGTTGTTTTCCCAAAAGCGGAACAGCACAGGGCTTCAAAAAAAGCATCGGGTTCAGCACGCAGGCCTTTTCGAGCTAACCTTGGAGGTTAACATGTTTGCGGGAGGGAAGCTGTTTTGGATTGCAGGTTGAGTTGTATTGCGGCGCGCATTCCCAACACATCATCTGTCTCCAGGAGCGGTTCTCCCCGCCACCGAGGAAGCGAAAGACCTCCATGGAAAGCAGGCGCTCCACCAATTTTCCCAAGCTCGACACTGCGCAGGTGCAATTGCTTCGGAATTCGGGTTTGAGGTGCCTCGAATGTCGAAAACCGCGAAGCTCAAGCTCAAGTAGTTGGCAAAGTGGCCCGTACGGCCCAGACGTCCCAAATTTTTCAGTCCCCGGCAGCCAGAAGAGCCTCGAATTTCAGGTTGGGGTTTGGGATCATCGAAATTACTAAGTTCAAGCAAGGTCCAGCCAAACAAGAGTTCTGTTTTCATTTTGCAAGCACCTTGAGCCTAAACACTACTGTAAACAGTAATCTTGCGTGCTTGAACACTGCCCGAAGTCCTCCTGTATCCTAGCACTGCTACCCAGTACGGTCCTGACATTCTCTTAGAGGTCGCATGTAGGTTATAGTAAGTTTCATCAGAATAGCATTCGAGCTCCAGAAAGAAACGTCCAGAGAGCGGGGACTCGCGGGCGCGATCCAAGCAAGACTTTCTTCTGCCAGGGAAGCCTCATGCTACAAGGGCTCGCATTGTCTCTGGAGAAGCTTGACCTAGGAACTGGTAGGTTTCCACTGGCACAGCGACTTGAAGGCATGTAAATGTCAATCTGATCTCACATGTAATTACATGGGTTGACAAAGTCAGGCTCCAACCCTGAGCTCGTGGGGTGATGTAGTACTCGCGTGACTACTCGCGTACTCGGTGCCGCAGGGGTCGCACTCCGTGTTCGGAGACTGGAGAGGCCGGGTCGGCTCTGAGAGGCTTTGGGCCGAAACACTCCGGGATCAAATACTGTATTCTATTATATGATATTGTAGCATATGATATTATGTTTTTTTTATTATATTATATTATATTAAGCCCTCCGTTCTCTCGACCCCGAGCCACTCGAGCCCCGCTGCAAATTTCACCTTAACAGACCTTGACCCACACTTCGCCCTCCGACGACGAGGGCTCTTGGCAGACTCCTCCTATGCTTTTTTCAATGTCACCGGGTTGGGATGACGGCCGGGCAGAGTTGATGTTCAAAGTGGTGGTGAATGCTGAATGGCATTTTGCACAGCACTTTGGCGACAAAGCTGCCGTTGGAAGCTGCATCTCGACCAGGCGGAGAGCAGCCAGAGCGAATTCACGCCACTGAGCCCTTCTTTGGAAGACAGGTCGGTCTCTTTAAAGGATAATGTTCAGAGACGGCTTCAGGGAGGCAGGCACTGAGGACTCTTGAGGTGTTGGGACTGTGAGTGCACAGGTCGCCGGGATCGAGGATTCAGATTTTTGTTGGTTTCCGTGAGGCTTCTTGCGAGCAGGTGTCACACAAGGCAAATTCAGAAGTTTGAGGCAAAGTAGTTCATAGAAAAAGCTTCTTGTGGATGGTGCTGAGGGGCCAGCGCTCTACCGCTTTGCCTGTTGTCTGACACCTCGATCTGCCGCGACCTCCAGACCGAAGCAATGTTCTGTTGCGTACGATCACCATGACAATCGTCGTGGCTCGTCCGGTTGCCTTAATTGGAAATTGGCTTCATCGTCCAGCTGTCTTGCAGGCCCGACCTGCGTGACGAAGCAGGCCAGAGTGATGGGGCAAACGTGTCAGGGTGATAGACGTCTTCGCGGTACTATATGACAGCAAAGCGATAGTCTGACGCAGTGCCATCTATCTTTTCACTGTTAGCTTAATTTGAAAATGAAGCGTATGTAACTTGTAGGTTGTCGCACTCGCGAATGATTTATGTGCGAAAATCGCATGAGCGCATGGATATGTTGGGGTTTGTGTGTGCATATGGTGGCTGTTCGAAAAGAGGATCCTGAACTGGAACCCTCAAATTTTTGCGCCCCCGCCCCCTGCAAAGCTCAGAGGCGCAGTGTGCGATCGGACAGCAGATCGGCGGCTGCCCTGGTTTTCTCAGGGCCTCCGGTGAGATTTGCGCATGAGTTTGCATGTCGCTTGCTGGGGGACAGATTAGAGCATGAAGCCCTTCGCAAGGCCAGCCAGTTGATATTCTACTCCGATGCCTCAAGCTTCGTTATGAAGCCTCATGTCCACATGTCAACTCTCGAACAGTCGAACTAGGCAGAGATTATGGCGGTGTGGGATGTTGTGGGCCATGACTGCGATCGCCCGAAGGTCTGAATCAAGAAACTATTTGGGTTTCTGCCCTACAGGCTCTCACAGCCCTAGCTCCTTCCTCCAAACCCTTCACCCAACACCCCCCCCTTCCCCCTTCCCCGCAAACGCCCGGGCGCTGTGTTGCAATGGGCTCTTCCGCCTCGACGGAGGATGCGGGTGACTTCGGACCCGCCTTTTGGTGAAGGAGAGGATCGTGTAGGCATGATTTGTCGTGTCCAACCTGGCGTCACAGCAACTTCGGAGTCGCAGATCTCGAGCCATTGTTTGCGGCTTCGTTGTGCAATGTCTTTTCTGCGGGTAGGTGTTGAGTGAGAGAGTGTGATGGCAGTATGATGTAGTATGCAGCTCTTGTGGCTTGTTTTGGAGTTGTGTCGAGGGAAGAGCAGGCAGGGAAGGCAATATGCAGAAGTTCGACAGTTTCTGTGATGCCAAAGCACATTGACGACCTGAAGGTCCTTGTCCATGTGTGTTCAACATGCCTTCGGAACTCAGAAATTCCTGAGAACGTCTGCCATCTCTGAGCACTGAGGATGGCTTCGAAGCTTCTGGGTACCAGCCCTCGCAAGAGGCAGGGCTCCTGAGTGGCATTGCCTCGAGGGCTTCGAATTTTGAGCCCTGAGGTTTCCCTGAAGCCACAGGCAGCACAGGCAAATGTGCTTCCTTAAGCCTGCGAGCCGACTATAGTTCCTCAGGCCGCCCGACTCCATGCCTGAACCCTCAAGGGCTGGGGGGAATCTTCACAGGTACAGGCGATGCATGGATCTTCCGGGTTGCATTAAAGAGATTTGCATGCATTTTATGGAAGTTGCTTGAACCTCAGGGCGTCGGCCGGCACCGGCACGTGGGTCAAACGGGCTCTGCACCTTGCCCTTGCAAATAGAGGGTCTCTACCTCAGCCTGAACGGCTCTGATGCGGCAATCTCGGGCCGAAGTGCCATGAGAAGATACATGCTTGCCCCCTTCGTCCGAGACCAGATCCTGAAAATCGAGCTCCAGTTCCTTTACAGTCCTGGGGTCCGAGGCTGATTTTGGAGGCGCGTTCAAGAACGCAAAAGGCATGCTGTTTGACCTCTTGCCAGTTCCTTTCTTGCGTCGCATTTCAAGGAATCGAGTTTCTCCTTGCAGAGCACCTCTTCGGTGTTGCTCGGCGGCATTGGACATTCTTTCATTGCGCAGTTCGGAGCCAGCATCGTCTTCTGTGCCGTAATCGTGGCCCGAAGCCATTTTTAAGCTCTACCTCGCCTCCACCTGAGCTGAGCCAAAAGCCAATCAACCATACCCAGTTTGATCTTGACCCCCAACATTCCTAAAGTTTGCTCGAGCCGTAAACCCTATGGACCCTTAACCTTAACTCCCGCGTCCGGTTTACTGGGGCAAGTGTGGAGGATGCCTTGTGCCCTTGCCCTTGAAGCTGCCTTGCAAGACCGGACCAGAACAGGGTCTGAGAAGAGTAGGCTTATGAAGGACCGCCAAGGGATGAAGAAGACACCCGCATTCTTTTTGGTTCCCTTGTGTTGTCGAGGGTTAGGTCGAAGTTTGAAGTTTGCGACTTTGGTTCCTGCGTGCTGATTCGGAAGTCTATGCCGGAAGCCCTGGAGTAGAGATCTCAACAGCAGGCCGCGCTTTTCCGATCCTGCAGCGGAGGCCACGGAGCAGCAACGCCAGGAGTGTGCTTAGAAGGATGATTTGCAGGGTCTGTTTCAGGGTTATTTTGGGTTTGGGCTTTCGCATCCCTGGTGCAAAACGGTCACTGTGACGCAATGGAAACTGAGAGGAACTTGAGAAGTCACCGGACCGAAAGTCACTGTCCATTTACGGCCACTTGAGTTGCTTAGAGAGACAGAGAGAGAGAGAGAGAGAGAGAGAGAAAGACAAAAAGTCTTGCCGAGCGATTGCAGGGCGTCGTGAATAAGAGGTTCGCCGCTCTACGAGTCC